GTGTGTGTGTGTGTATATATACATACACATACATACATATATATAATAAATAATATTAAAAATTAATAGGACATAATTTAATGTGGAGATGTATACTGCGTTTTCTTAAGAGAACACTGGATATTGTATTTACGTAACACACACCCAAGTAGTATACAAAGCGTATATTAGCGGTTTTTTACTTTAGAAGCGCTGCTTGGACATGCAACCTCACTTAGATTTCACTTTCACATCATTGTAAATGAATTTAGTAAACAAATTGATCACTATAAGAAATATATTTAATTCTTTAATGCATATAATTTAATATATGTATACAAAAAAAATATGAAAAAAGACTGCAAAAGGACAGACATATATATATATATATATATATACACACACACACACACACATGTCTATCCTTTTGCAGACTTTTTTCATATTTTTACACCTAATTATGCGTAAATTGCTATTTTTGTATTTTTGAGACATATATATTATATTTCTTATGTGAAGTTATATACTCGTATATTTTGATTCTGCATGTTGCGCAGTTGAAATAGTTTTTTGGACTTAAAATGCATTCATAAACGGAAACAGAAAAGTAATATCACTTATTAAATTACAATGTATAAGCAATTTAATAATTTTTTGCTAATAAGCATCTTTTTTAACAATATTGTCATATGTTAATGAAATTTAAAATCATAAATTATTATGAATAATTTATTGCGAAAAATATTACCTCGACCGGAAATACGAAAGTATAATGTATATATTTAAGCTACTAAGATCTATTTCGATCGAATATAATTCTTCTTATTTAAAACGTAAAACTTTATTAAGACATACAACTGTAAAGACAAGAATTTTTTAAAGAACAGCCAAAAGTATATCAAAGTACAAGTTTCAAGCTTTAAAATGCTTTTTTATTTTTTTATCTGCAATGATTTTTTATCAAATTTGATGATTGAAAATTGTGCAATTTTGAGCGTGTCAAAAGTATTATCCATTTTTTTTTAGCAGTGTATATCTATCATTCTTATTTCTCTTCACAAGACTTTGTAAAAATATAAATACATTTTATAAGTTACTGTATCACTTTATGTTTTATTTCTAAACATTGCGGGTTGTCGCCGTGTTTTCATTCATTGCTAATGCCAACTTTTCCTGAACGTTATCTTCATCAGGACGAGAAACGCACTGATACTGAGCTGTTTCTCCGGAAAATTTCCTTTATATGGAGAAGGGCGAGGATATGTTGAGGAAAGGGGGGAGGAAATTCTTAGCTTGTCAAGAGAACAATCTTTCATATCCTACTTACATTATAACCTGAGTCTCTAATTTTCTGGATGTTTCTGTATTTTTAAAGTCTCTCTGTACTTTCTCGAAAAATATGACATCGTTGTAACTCTAGTAGCCATTTTATCGAATAATATTTGATGTGCTGTCTCAACGTTGTGTTCTACCAATGCTGATTGAGTGACATGTTCCAGCCTGACATGAACAGCCCATTGATGTTCCTTCATGTTAATCATTCTTCCGGTTTCACTGATGTATACTTTCTCGCAAGGGCGAAGTATTTTATATACTTCTTTGGCGGAAATGAGTGGAGGTCTTTGATCTTTAGGATTTCTCAAGATTTGTTCAATCTTCCTTGGAGGCTTGAAAATAGTTCGGATATTGTGTTTGTTCAAAATGCTGCCAATTCGGTCTATTGTTCTTTTTACATATAGGAGAATAGAAAGACTTCTTCCTGTCCCTTGTTGTGTCTAAGTTGTTCTTTGTCCTGCTTCACATCCTTCTTGTATTTGTTCCGCTATAAGATTTATTTCAAATGGTTAAGTTCTGTTTGTAGATGTTCTTTATCAGAGATACTGAATGCTCTATGCACAAATTAGTGTATTGTCGACTGTTTTTGTGCTAAGTGGTGGTGTGATTCGGTACGTAAGTATCGGTCAGTGTGTGTTGGCTTCTTGTACTTGATGGCCAGGGTATTGTCAGCCTTTTTTGCGGCAAACAAAAAGAACAGTCAGAACAATGAAGAACATTCAGAAAGGGAAGCTTATCATTCACTTCTATGTCATGATGAATCGTTGATTGTTGAGAAAGTTTAAGAATTTGTGAAGTTTACCATTGCCATTGATTTCTTCGTGTGCATTTCTTCATGCGTTGATCTTCAGATTACGAATGATTACGAATTCGTCTATATAACCATAACTTCTGGTTTAATAGTCGCCTTACGAAGGGCTTCTTCTTCGAAGTATCCCATGAAAATGTTTCCTGATAGTAAAGTATTAGCAATTTGCACGCAAATTCGATCAGATTTTGATTATAAAACTATAGCCATTTGTGTCCGCATTTAGCTATGGATTTGTCGACAAAACCTGCTGATATGTTTTGCCAGTAGTTTGCTGATAATGTCTGATAGTACAAATTCTGTGTACAATTTATTGCCTTCTTGCAATCAAAAATTTGTAGTAAGCTCTGCTCAAAATCTGTCTCCGCAGACTTTGCTATCAGAGTTTGCAATTACAGGGAGATGGGAGAGTTCATAGTTCTCGCTCCAGTCTGTTCATAGAATTGGTCATTGTAGGAAACCATGTAATCATTAGGCAATGCTCAATTAAAAGGATGATATTATTGGGAACATGTAAGATTTTAATTATATACTAGAATTTCTTATATTGGAATGTGTTTATGAAAAGTGACTCTATATTGAATTCACCATATCTTCAGGATGCAGACGAATTTTTTGGATTTTTGTATGAAATCCGTCGAATTGGCGATATGTGATTCAGTCCTTCTTATCAGAGGATTGTAATCGCGAGCTAAGCATAAGAGATCATATGTCGAAGATTTTATGGTGCTAACAATTGGTCTGAGAGGGATATTAAATTTATATATTTTTGGCAGACCATATAGTCTTAGTAGAAGAGAATTCGTAAGTTTCAATATTGCTTTGTCGAGGAGTCCGTTTTTTTCTATTAAAATGCTAGTTTTCCTGTTTGTTTGATCTCTATCAAACCTTGTGTATATTTCATTCGAAACGAGAGTCTCCATCTTCGTTCTGTAGTCTGATCATTTATAAACAACTCAGCCATTTGAAACAAATCTTACACGGATACAATAGAAGAATGTGGGCAGGACAATCAGCAAACATAGAAACGGGACAAAGAACAACTCAGACATACAACAACCAGAAAGAATTAAACAAAAGAAGCCTCTCTATTCTTTCATGTGTAAAAGGAACAATAGACCGAATCTCGGCAGGATTTTGAACAAATAGAACATCTGAACAATTTTCAAGCCTCCAAGAAAGATCGAGCAAATCTTGAGAAATTCTCAAAATCAAAAACCTCTACTCAGTGGAGTATACAGAATACCTTGTTCTTGCGAGAAAGTATACATCGGTGAAACCGAAAGAATAATCAACGTGCGCATGAAGGAACATCAACGGAATGTCAAGCTGAAACCCTGAAGTATGTACAGCATTGGCAGAACACAACGTTGAGACATTAAATACTATTCGATAAAACGACTACTACAGCTACAATGATGTCATATTTTCTGAGGAAGTACAGAGAGGCTCCAGAAATACAGAAACATCCAGACAATTTTAATAGGGTCTCAGGTTATAATGTAAATAGGGTATGAAAGATTGTTCTCTTGACAAGCCAAGGAAGTTCCCCTCTTCCTACTTCAACATACCATCGCCCTTCTCTACAGCGTCTATAGAGGGAGTTCTCCGGAGGAGCAGCTCAGTATCAGTGCGCTCCTCGCTCTGATGAATTGAACGACAAGGTTCACGAAATGTTGGCATTAGCAATGGATGAAAATATGGCGATAACCCACAAACCACAGGTTATCTTTCATGGATATTATCTTCATAGATATCACTTTCTGTGGTTGTTGTATGTCTGAGTTGTTATAATACCTATGAAAGCCTTAAAAGCTTTATTTCTAAGCATTATTTGTAAATTTGTAAATTTTTGAGTCTGTCGTATGTACATCCTACACCTATGATCTATACATATATCTCAGCCCTAAGGATATATGGTAAAAATGGATTTAAAATTTCATAATGCGAAAAATAAGTATTTCAGATTTTTTATATTTTTTTATAGTAATAGTGCAAAGTTTTTTTATCGGTACAGTTCATTTATCTTAAACATGTAATAAATGACATTTGATAAATTAAATTTATGTTAGGCGCGAAGCATATTATCTGTGATCAAAAAGTATTATAATGGCTCATTTAAACTGCATGCTTTGAACATATCGAGGAAATATTTTTTTTTTAGATTGGTAAGACTATTTCTAATCTCTCTCTCTCTTTGCTTAAAATTTAACATAATTACTTTTCTTAATTCAGAAATAAATGCTTGTTTTGAAATTAACGCTTAATTTAAAAATAAACGCTTGACTGAGAAAAAGTACTTCCGGCAATTTTTAATATGCTGAATTTTGCTGAACAAAGAATTTGCATAAAATTTTGTTTTTGGAACGAAATTTCGTTGTGGAAGTGTTTCGGTGATGAATATTTGTCAAGAACAAGGACAATTTCCGAGATATAAAATGTTCAAAGAGATTGCAAGCTCATTGAAGACAAGGATCTTTCTAAAAGATCTTTCACTTCAACACATTCAAAGAAATCAAGAAGTAATGTCCAGTGATCGATGATTGACAATTCAAAATATATTTGAACATATTAGAATATTATTTGGTTCATGCTAATTAATTTTGAAATACAATTTGAGAGTGGAACACGTTGCATCTCGAAGTGTTCCAAAAAACGCAGGATATAATTTTATTTTCTTCATAATGTTGCGATATAATTTTGGTTTGGAAAATTTAAATTTTTAACATTATTAATGAATAAATGACAAGTCATTTTTTATTTTTTAATAGAATAAAATGTTCTCTGAAACTAATATTAAAAAACACAAAGGACGCCGCACAAAATCATTGGATTTTGCCCTCGGTGAAATTGGCTGAAACTTAGAATGTTATATCTTAACTCATTGATCAAAAGTGTTCATAGACACAAAGCTTGAAAATGACTAGTTTTTATTATAGCCGTTTAAAATTTTATTTTATTAATGCATCAAATCAAATTTCTGTAATAAATCGAGAGATTTTAGATAACAATATGCCATCCATTTTTTATTACCCTCATCCTTACTTTCTCTCCATTCCCATATACGTACGCCTGCGCGCGCATATATGTGTGTGTGTGCGTGTGATTGCGCGTGTGTGTATGTATCAATGATACGTTTATAATTTTAGTTTTTCGCCCGTTCTCAGAATTATCCAGAATGAACAACGTGGATGTAATAGGCGTTTTATTCCTTTGGAGTTGATTTTCGTGAGCCCCCTTTGCTTCTCACGTTTGACATCCATAAAAAAAAACAAAGACAAAAGAAAAAAGAATTTTCTATTCTGTTGTTATCGTACTTCAGCAAGCACTCGATATTTTTTCACACGGTGTTTCACGCGCGGAAACAAACATTCGGGTCATGATTCGTGATAATCAAGCTCTTCGTACGTAAGAGGTCAGAGAATTCACGCATTTCAAACAATATGTGTGAGAGAAGCAAAATCTAACAGAATCTAAATACATGATTATAAAAGATTTACTTCGATTTTTATGCCACTTTTTAATATAAAATTGCGCTCGCGGGCGTGTGTGCGGGGATGAGGGTGGGGATAGAGTAAGGATGATGAGAGTGAATGGCGTATTGTTATCTAAAATCTCTTGATTTATTACAGACACTTGATTTTGAGGCAATTAAGGCTCCTGAGTAATCGCCGCGGCCATGTTAGAATCGTGACGTCAGAAGCGAAAAATGATGGTAATTTATGTTGCATGCCATTTGTAAATAAATACGATTTGGATAAATCTAAATGACGAGATCGCTTTAAAATATTTGCAAAAATTGACAAAAACTGTACTTTCCTCCCTTGACAGTCGTAAAAGGCATATAAAATAAGCTTATACTCGAGCAGAAGCACACGGTCTGATAATTGTTGAAACGAATGAAAAATACGCTTTTACATATAAAATTTCAAGATAATTTTAGTTTTCGTCGATAATTATGACTTTAATAAGCACGAGACAAATCACATTTTCATAATTAAACAACAACACCAAATGTTGGCATGCAACACAAATTTCACCAAACGTCAATTTTTTATGCCTATAAATTTAGCCATTTATCGTGGCAAGGCGCTGTAAGCACGAGCCCATGTACAGTACAGTGCATTAATTCGCTGAGTCATAGTTGCGACCCAACTTATTAAAAATAAGAAAATGCAGTACTAAAAAGTTGATAAAAAATCCTGAAAAAATTCTTAGAATTCTATGAGAAGAAAATAAATGATTTTTGTCTCTTGCAGTTTTTCTATAAAGTTGATAGTATTTCAATAAAAATAAACGTTAATAAGTCGGGCATACATACATGTGCTCGCCTTCGGCGTGCCGAGAACACATTTACAGCCGGTCATAGAAAAGTTGCAAAATTTTTTTTTCGATGGGTTACGGAATGCAGTCTACTCATCGAGCAATTGGTTCTTATTTGTGGATCCATGAATAAGAACCAATCGCTCGGTGAGCAAGTTGTATTCCGAAACCCATTGAAAAATAAGTGTTGTAACCTTTTTTCTATGTGCTCCCGGCTTTAGCTGAGTACTCAGGAGCCTTAATAAAATAAAACTTTAAACGGTTATAACAAAAAAACTCATTTTCAAGCTTTGTGCCTATGGACATTTTTGATCAGTGTATAATGTACTAAAGTTTCAGTCAATAACTTCACCGAAGACCAAAATCCTATGATTTTATGCGGAGTCCTTTATATTTATTAAATTGAAATTATGTTGCGATATAATAATAATAATAATAATAATAATTCGACGAATTAGAATTATGTCAAGACATAATAAAAATTGTTTTTATTTTAATTTAGACTTAATTTCAATATTAAATTATTAATTTTGTCAGAGATATAACAAACATTTGGAATTATTATTATTTCGAGACATAAATTTAATTTGTAGAATTATTATTATGATTTGACATAGTTCTGGCTCAGTAAATTCTGCTTAACTTTCAAAGTATAATATCAACCTATAAAAGTGCTATTTAAATATTGTTATTCTCAAAAAGATACATATCTTTATTTTTTTAATTATAATAAAATAAATTATTTTATAAAAAATATTTTTTAAATTTTATTCTATTCTTATTTATTATTCATTTTTCTCAGTTTAAGATTAAAATTATTTATGAATGTAATAAAATTTTTATAAGTAGTAATTGAAAAAATTAAAATAAAATTTACAGTACAATAGATCAATGTTACCTTAGATAATTAAAAAATCATACCCAATTGTCCTAAAAATTAATCTTTATTTATCATGTTTAGTTATATATAGAACAGCCATTGAAATTAACGCACTTGAATACGAATAATCGGTGTGTACGCAGAGATTTCCTCTTTAAAATGATTGTGAAGACCCTGGTTTCACAGTTGCTGCTTTTATTAGTCTTCTACGACCCCGCGCGTAAGTATATTATTTGTTTTGTATGCAATATTCCCAAATAACATGTAATACTGCGTAAATATTGAATAATACTGTGTTACATCCAAGAGTCCCAGGATTTTTTTAAAAGAGTTTTGAAGTAAGGAGAGGGCCACGTAGGAAGAACGTAATTAAGATTCTTCTTGTGATTCTGGAGCAACTTATATTATAAATTGAACGCACTTGTATAAAACCCCAGATATACATAAGTCAACATACATACCATACGCAGGATTGGGTAGTAACTAATTAATAAGTTAAAAGTTAAATAAAAAAATAGAAAGTTGAAAATTAACTTTTAGTTTAATTTATAATAGTTAACTTTAAACGAATTAATTTTTAACTTAATTTAGTTAGCAACAAGATAAAAATGAACTCTTGATTTAATAACAAATTAATATTCAAATAACAGGCAATCAGAAGTAATAACTGCACAATAATTCGAGTAATTCCTATTATTTAATAATTATATTTGTAGATTACTTAATTCAAACTAAAACAAAATCAGACGTTTCAATTCTATTTAAGCCATCTTCAGCAATGTAAAATAATTTGTTAATCAGTACAAAGCAGCGATAATAAATTAACAGAGTGTTTTTGTTATCATATTCTAAATATCATGAAGAAAATTTGAAGTAGATTATTAAGATCTTTTTATATAATAATGATCTCATAAAGTATTTATTTTTGACAAAATTAACTTACGTTTAAAATCATTATTTGAATTCTCAAAAGGTAGGACTCTCAAACAGTCTGAAAGTAGTAAAAAGAAAAATTAAAAAATAATCATTGGCTACATTTATACCGTGAATTTAGGCCGTGGCCTGTACCTCAAATTCGACCTAAATTATTTAGGTCCCTTGCTGTGAACACTTGACAGATAATCAGTCCTGGCTGTAGGTCAGGCTTCGATTTGGTGACTTGACTTGAAATAGGCCGTCTATAACCTGAAATAGATCGACATACCATTATTTGTTAAACTCAAATTGACATATGTCATGTCGTTAGTTAATGCTTAGCAAATGAGAATGGATTAAAATGGATTTAAATTTTTTTAATGCGTATTTTAAATCCATGAAAATCGATTGAATGGATTGAAATAGATTGGCTCCGAGTTGATACTAGTTTAATATTCGAAAAAAAAAAAAAAAACATTTAAGGCTTACAAATTTTATTTCTAAGATATTTATAATAATTATATCTGAAATTAGCTACTTCAAGTAGATATTAAAAAATGCATCTAGTGGGATTTAAACCTGGGACCTCTGGATTATGAATCTTCTACTTTACTCGCTATACCGCTTCTTCAATTGATAAATGTGTTATTTGTTCTCTACTTCAATTACAACCAGCTAAACTAGTAACGAAATTATATAGATACAATAAAAATATCATCATTTAACAGATATAATAAAATATAAACAATTTACATTACTATGAGACAACATGGGTAAGTGGCGGATAATCTGAAGAGGGCTCAATCTGGTAGCCGAAACTTGTAACTTTTTATTATTTTCTTATTTTTAATTTTATTTTTGCTTTATATAATTTTACCTCTTGTTAATTGTAATATATTCTTCGGTTATTTTTAAAGAAATGTGTCGACTCTTACTTTGCCCTTTACTTATTATTAATTATTCAATTAGATTGAAAAACTGCATTTCATATTCAGAATATATTGAATTGAGTAATATTCATGTTGCACAGAAATTGCTAATATTATTTTTGAATTTAACTGAATTAAAAAACTGTACTTCCTATTTACAATTCTGAATTGAGTAGTATTCACGATACAGAAAATGCTAATATTATTTTTAGATTGAATAGACATTTGCTTTACGCAATTCCTATAAATGAATAAAAATATATTTAGGATCGAGAAGGATTTATTTTAACATTCATGAATCTGAATTTCTGAAAATCTGAATCTATTTTAATCTATTTCAATCCATTCTCGTTTGCTAGATGAATATATATCATAAATTGTAAATAAAAAAGTTTAAAAAATGTTTAAAGGGCTTTGAACGTTTCGTGTTCGAAAAGTTAAAAAAATTCGTGTTTAGGCCGCTTATATATATATATATATATACACGGTGTAAATGATTGGTGTCTATTTTGAGTCGCATTATAGGTCAGGTCGCGTATAGGTCTCTCGGTGTAAACATAGTCATGGTTTACAATTCCATATTTGCGTTATCTCTAAAAAATCTAAAAATATTGTTAATCTCTCTCTCTCTCTCTCTCTCTCTCTCAAGGATCTTAGGTAAAATTATCCTTCGCTTTAGTATAAACTTGATAGATTTTATTAAAATATTTTTCCGAAAAATTGACTTTCTACAGATTTTTTTGAAATTTGAGTATTATGTTAAAATAATGTTATCTGTATCATCGTGGAATTATAGAAGGTGAGCTATTCCCGTGGATGCGCAGTAGTCTAAAAGTAGTGGGAAGCAGATAGCCAATCATGGGGGACTCATTGGCTGGGTTCGCTTTAGCGCTCACAACGCTTTAAGCGTCGTTTCAGTCTTGTTGATTATTAAATATTAAACAAACACAATTGATGTTCACAAGCGCTATAAGCGACAAAGCGAACGCAGCTTTTATGAAAATCCAATATGGTTGTGTTTACTGTTTTGGAGCGTATAGTGCTATATTTATAAATAGGCCCTTCGTGATTGATTGACAAGATATGTCCCCCCACCCTTTGCCATCATTATGCGTAATAACTCATTTCCTATAATTCCACCATAATCTATATATGGTTAAAATTTTAAAGATCTCAGCGATGCCAAAATGGAGATATTCACCTTCAAAGTTTAATATATAAACTCCTATATCAAGTCTTGACGAAGTAATATTTTAATATTTTGCGGTGAATGTAGATTTTCACTTAAAGATTTTCATTAAAAAAAAATAAATATGTAGTGTAGAAGTATTATAGGAACTCCTTATAAAAAAAGGCTTAGCGGTGCTATTTCTGAATTAGAATAGTTTAAATTTATAATTTGATGGAATTCTCTTTCTCGCACACCGAGCGGTGAAACAGGGACATGCTGTTGCCACATTTCAACTGACTTTGAAGCAACTTTCACTCCATTCCCCTGCTAAGGTGTTCCCACCAATCAATCGGTATCCAATCGATCGGTCTCCAATTGAGGAGGTCGATTCTGTATCTTCAAAGAACAAAATTACAAAAGTGAGCAAATTTATTAGGTGTTGACCAATGAAATAATCAATATTCTAGTAATTTCGTACTTTTATAATTTTTACCTTATTTCAAGATACAGAATCCATCCCCAATGTTGAATTGACCGGTATCCAAGTGAACATATCCAATTGAGCAGTGTCCAATAGAACCGTGTCCAATTGAGTGTTACTCATGAAAGAAAGAATAAAAAATATTTTTCGCGGAATAACGATTTAAGAGTTAAAAGAAGTTCAAACAAACTTTCCACGAAAATTACAAGCATGTCTACATTAACATGGTGAACATTTTTTGCAATAATAAAATCTTGCAACATTTATTGCAATAATAAAAAATTTGTTCCAAACTTTCAGTCTGACTTAAGCCTGTGGCACACGATGCTTATGTTTCTACTGGATTGCCAGCTGGATTAGAAGGAATAGACATTTAGATAGATATTTAGTAGATCGACATTTAGTGCTTTTATCTCAAGCGCGCATTTATCTCTAAAACTCTATAGTATGCGTAAATTATAGCATGTTAGCACGTTAAGCACATTCTGAATACGGGCCATAGCTTCTATACAGAAAGTACCCGAAAATCTTACCCGGAAACCTTAAAAATATTAATTTTTTCTATATTTTCGTATCTAAAATGTATCTAAATCTCTTTTGTTAACATCAAATAGGAGGCGTCGGTTGTATTTTTTTGTAAGAGATAAAAGCATTTATTAAGATAAAATTATGTTAATAAAAAACATGGCAATCATAGATTTTTCTATTTATATCTAATGATTAAAAATTGATAAAAATAAAATTCACAGATGTAACAAGCCTGATTATACCAGAAGAGCTGCCGACCATTTTAAGTTTAATATATTCGAATATATCGCCAATCAAAAAAGTTAAGTATATTATAAGTTAAGAATATAACTTTATCTTATTACATAATCCTTATTAACTTATATCGATGTTTATTATGATTATAAAATCTACAGGAACCGATTCCAGATTTGGCATGGGTTTTCGATTAGGTGAACACGCGGATTTTCAAATTCTTATTGAACTAGGACCACAAACCGAGACGGATCCAATAGGTACATCCAACGATGCCAAAAGACGACGAGATGTAAGAATTTGCGTAATTTGTATACTAAATCATTACACATTTAACAAAAAATTTTTTTTATAAATAGGCGATGATAAATGCTGCGATGAAAGGAGATCTAGGACCATTGGCACAAGCGGTGGCTAAATATCAAATAAACCGTAAAATTCAAAAAGAAATGGATGAACTCAAAATAATAGAGGAGAAGCTTAAAAAGATTAAAACGGAGAATACAAAGGCTCAAGATGTAAATACGAAATTTATACAAAATGAACCAAAGAAAATTTAAATGGTAAAAAGCTAAGAAACTTTTTTCAATTAATTTTTATTACATTAAAATATAGAACATAATGTGCTATTTATATATTTTATTAAGTTCATCAATATGAATCGCGTTGATTGGCAGATGGCAAATTGTGTTGTAGATCATGACTGGGCACTGGGCAGATACTATTGTATAACCTCATTAATGTCATGTTCAATGAAACATTGAAGTGACGAACAATGCATGTTATAAAATCCTATTACTGTGCCATAGCTATTCGTAAAGCGTTTCGTTACATATCACTTTCATCTCTGTCACGATTTTATATTAATAGACTGTTTCAGAGACTTGTTACGCTTGGATGTAGAATGTTCTACCACTGTTTTTTGCCAAATGAAGTCTACATCACAATTATAATTAATATGAAAATCGATTCTACGATTACTATCATGTCCGTATTCATAAACTATGTTTACACAATATCCTTAGCACCACTTTCACCAAGCTCCGATTAACTTAACGGGCCTTTAATTTGTAATTTTGCAGGATTCCAACTGAAGCTGATGTCGGAGAAAAAATGTGAACTGAAGAGTTAAATTAATATTTCTTTAATTAGAATTAACTGTAATTTTACATACTATATTGAACACAAAAATAGATTATTAACAAACAGCTACCAGAGAGAAACCTTGCTATATAAGTTAGTATTACAAATCTATATTTATAACTTCTTTCTTTACATTTTTTCTCCGACATCAGCTTCAGTTGGAATCCTGCAAAGTTACTAGGCCTGTTAAGTTAATCGGAGCTTGGTGAAAGTGGCCCTAAAAAGTGTTTAGTAACTTAGTGAATTTGTCACTGGCCTGTGCCGCTTACCGCATTACATGTAATAGAATGAAAAGGATTTGAGCACAAGAATTGTCGTAACACTTACTTAGCTTGTAGACATAAGTAACGCACAAGCTTTCACATATGGCATACAACTTATTACCCGAGAGTTGTATGTCATACACCAAAGCCTACAAGTTAAGTCTTTAGGCCTGGTCTACAATTAGTCGGTAGACGTCGTATGTTGTGTGCGCATAACCTTTATTTGTCGTGTCGGCTGCTGGGTCGTCGTTTGGATTGGTTAGGTCCTATCTTTTACGACTAACGACATCCGACAAGCATCAGCCAACTTGATCATAGACGAGGCCTTAAGGCCCGTTCTACAATCAGTCGCATGTCGGAATCGGACGTTGTACGCATGTGCACTGGATTGTCAGCTGTTATTATCGGAATAGATGATAGTCAATTCCCATCTTTTCCGATTACGACTAGATGAAACATAACCTTCGAACACATTTGTGTATGAATAAACAGATATTTTTATACATATGGATATATGGATATATTTATATATTATATCATGGAATCACTGAATGTAGATGAAATAATTATTGATTTTGTTCGCGAAAATCATTGCTTGTATGATAAACGCAATGTGGATTTTAAAAATTAGCAAAAAAAGAGATCTGTAGCAAAAAATATCCACAAATTTGAGAAACTGTTATGATATAAATATGTCAGGTAATTTTTTATTTGTTAAATTATTATTTAATATAAAAATATTTTGTAATTTAATTATTTTATATCAAACCTAAGAAATGCTTATAGAGCTGACACTAGGTGTATAATTCGTATATATAAATTTATTCAAGTTTAATAACTTGAATAATATACGTTTCGATTATCGTTTTGATCACCATTTTTTTTCTTGTGGACATTGGAGATATCTTAGTTGTAATACTTCCAATATAGCATTACAAACCTCGGGAATAATGCTATATAAAGTCGATCTTCTAATCCGAAAAAATAATGCACTAGTTACCATGCTATCTCCACGGGCAAGAAAGCTAAAAACAAATTTAAATTTGTGATAAATTTCATATATTTGAAAACAAATAAAATATAAGTAAATTGTATTAACAATAAATATATATATATATATATATATATATATAATGACTAAACTAACCTCAATGTGACTGCAAGACGTATCTTTGTTGGTAACGGTTTTCTATGACTTTTTTCCGTAATTTTGGTTTTAGTAAATCATCAAATTGTGTTACTGACTTATAAGTTTACAAAATTCTTCATGATTATTCATTTGAAAGTATTATATATAAATAATGCGTGATGAACATCAAAATTCTGTCTCATATTTGTGATTTTATCCACCATTTTCTTGTACTTTCCTTTCTACCGTTTCTTTAAAAATAACTTTATTTTCATAATTTGCGTCCAAATGAATAATTTGAATATATATCCAACGTTTCAATATCCATTCTTTACATTTGTTTTGACTTTGATCAACGACTCAATTATAGAATAGCAAGTCGTATTCATGTGCACGACATACAACATACGACAAACGACTTGCGACAGTCATTGATATACTACTGATTGTAGAACGGGCCTAAATAAGTGTTACACGACCATTTTTGTTCTGAGATCCAAAAGAAGCAAGCGGCATGGTTTGCGCGGTATCTATAGGGTGCTTTCCAATTGCTTAACACATCTTAATAGAAACGTACACAGGAATGTACAAAGGAGGTGTTCCCTTTTTACTGGCAGTGCAACCATCATGACGTCACAACAGTGGTACTGCTAGCACTACTGTAACGTCATTTCGAAACGACTTTGCAGTAGACTGGCAATGTAAATAGACCTGAATAAACGTACTAAATTGTCAATCAATTTTGAACGAAAATAGCAGCGATAGTTCTTTCGAAGAAGATGAACTAATTATGAGATCACCAATTTAAGCAGTTTGACCTCGTGTTAAAAACTATATGGACACAGTTAATAAATATTTATAATAGATGTAGAATTTAGAGTTATTTTCGGTAAAATGAATATGTTATGTGCATCTTCTGCAGTTAAATGTAATGTATACATTAAACCCGCGAAACGCATAATCTTTATAATGTATATATTTTTTTATTTCCTGGATTGAATATTTCAACGCGTTGTGCTTCTTTAAGCGACGCCATATTGCACTGCCTCACTTCGAAAACCGCAGTAGTCGCAGTGGCAATATTGCTATCATTTATGACGTCATCCTAGAAATAAAGTTTCATGATTGATATCCAGCGAAAGAAATAGGCGGTACGTGGTATGCGCGATTCCCTAGGTAGTTACTGTTACGGGCTAGTAACAAACTCACATTATTATACACTGCTATGCACTTTTTAATGAAATTAATTGATTTAAACGCAATTATTAAGTAAATCTGTTAAAAAAATAAGAGTATCAATAAAATGTGTATGAAAATAAGTTAATATATTATGAAAAAAATTTATACTAATGTGCGCAAACCGTGCTCCATGTAATATCAGCGAAAGAAATAGGCAGTATGTGATACGCGGTTTCCTAGTTGCTTAGTTATTATTAGTTACTGTATCGCGTACCGCGTACCGCGCTCCATATAATCGCATCCTAATGCTTAGTTTATGCTTCGGTTTGAGGGTACGATTACATGTAGCGCGGTACGCGATACGCGGTACAGTAACTAACTAGATATCTATAAAAACCACGTATACCATGCCGCTTGCTTTTTTTCTCTTCTATTGTAGCACGATGAGTTCTAAAGAACCACTCATCCACGATGGATGCGTCTCGACTCGATTGCTACAAGTTATATTTTTGAAAGTGTTGCCTACTTTGACTGAGCGTTAAAACACTCATAATCGTCCCATAGTTTTGAACGATCCATTCGTTTGTCCTGACGCGTGTCCATGCGATGTGATGGCGCCGTAGACGGGGGATCCCGTTTGCCTACATAACTTTTGCCGACAGTTCGTTTGCACACAAAAATTATTGCCTACAGCTCGATTGTCTACATGTATTTTGCACACAAATTTTAGAAAGAGTTACGGATACTGTAGGCAATCGATTTGTAGACAAAAGCAACCACCTTACCGTAGACACAGGTGCCCGGTGTCCGGGCGGGCTTTGCCATTTTCGCGGGCATTGCATCACTTTTAATTTTTGTATCTCTCATAAGGACGTGATTTGGCCGTATGTCTCCATTTAATATATGAGAGGCAGAAGCCATTAATCAATAAGAAGAAAAACGTGTAGCGCGGTAAGCGGCACGGACCACTGACAAATTCACATTACTAAGCACTTTTTAATAGAATTAATTGAATTAATTAATAAAATTGAATTAATAGAATTAATTAACGCAATTATTACATAAATCTGTTGAAAAAATAAAAGTATTGATGAAATGTATAGAAATAAGTTAATATATTAAAAAATATTCATATATTAAAGTTAAATTTAGTTATCACTATAGCTCATGCCACTTTCCGCGCTACATCTAATGCCTCCGGCACATCAGCGCGATGTTCGTCGCGCGCGACACGCGATATTCAATAAGTGTACAGCTTTACCGATATTCTCATTCTAAAGGTATACTATTATTGGATATCGCGTATCGCGCGCGACTAATATTGCGGTGGTGTGCCGGAGCCATAATAGAGGAGAAAAGAAGCAAGCGGCACGGTTTGCGCGGTTCCTATAATTATTTAGTTAATTACTGTACCGCCTACCGCGTATCGCGCTCCATGTAATCGCACCCTTAGGACGCTCGCACGGAATATTAGAGATCCGGCTTCAAGCCGGAGATAATATTTTTTTGCAATTAAATTTACAGATTGTCAGTATATTAACATATTTCTAATAGGATGCCTATTTGAGTATCAAATTATTAAAATTGCTTGTCAATTTAATTTGTGATATTACTACAATAGTTCAAATACTACAATTGTATTTCTAATAGCGTTTTCTTTTGACTGCACTATCGCCTACTAGTGCAACACTCAGTGCACGAAGTGGGATTTTGCTACACTATCTCAAAGGGACGGTATAGAGCCAGTGTGACATTTAAAATTTGAAAATGGAAATCAAGAGGAAATAGAGTTTTAGAGCAATAATGATGTGTACACTATGGTGTGCATCACTCTGGTGTAATGTAGCCGAGTGTAGCGATTACACGCAATTGGTGCGGTGCGAGGGCTGCACCCAGTTTATCCCAAAAGAAAACGCTATAAGTGTGTGTCCGGAAAACCAATTTGGCCCGCAGTTCAAATGACTACATATATATATGGCTGTTTTTTTTTTAGGAGACACACTTGATACAAATCGACACACATTACTTTTCATTTACAATTTTGTTCAAACTGAATTGACACATTTCGCCTTTGCTATAAAAGAGTCAGAGTATGTCAAGTGCGATTTTGATGAATTTAATATCAAGACTCATGTAAACCAGTTTCCATCATTTTGTTCTGTTCTTTGACCATCTTTGATTAAAATCTTTTAAAAAGTCAGAATCATTAAAAATTCGTACACACACTGCACATATCGCGTTCGATTTAAATGTGGCAAACCATATTTGAGTGTGTTAAACTGTGTCGATTTGTGTCTCCTAATAGGAAAAAAGCTCACATTATAAAATCACGTGAAAATTATTTAAGCATCCAAGATTCAGCTTCCACCATTATATAAGTACAATTAAACATTTTTTCTCTTTTGTTTTTTTTTCCAGTTAGTCTTTTAATTTTGAAATTAAAAAAACATTTTAGAAAAGTAAATGTTTAAACAATAGCATTTTTAGTACACTACAAAAAAATTTGATATTTTTGCGAAAAATCATCACTAATTTTTTTCAAATAGCATTTTGAAGCTTAAAAAGATTATTTTAAAATAATCAAAATTTTGTCTGATGATATTTCATCAAATCACTTCAAAATAAGATAAAAACATCGCAAAAGATAACAATTTTTAATTTAACATAATTTAAGGACAAAAAATGTTATAAAAAAAGAATCAAACGCAAATTTAAAGTCCTTTTTTTGCACCAAAATGCATAATTAAAAACTTAACGATTTTTTTTCTTTGATATATTATAGTTAACATTTTGTTAAATGCGACAAAAATATTAGTATGTCAAAATATTTATGGACGCTATTGTATATGTAATATAAAGTAATTGAAAATTTATTAAAAAAGGTTATGTGTTTAACAGAAATTTAAAAAAGAAGAAGCTCCACGTGTGATGACGTATACGTCGATGAAGAAACTGCAGCAACATATATTGTAGCAGATGAAACAGAGTTATTCTATGCCTTTTAAGTGCATAATATGGTATTCAATTTATTGTTACGCAAATGTTTTTAAATATATATCAACCACAAAATTCTGATAATTATTTTTTTACAAGGTTATTTTATTGTTGTGATAAAATTTATTCATTAATATAATAATACGCTAGAAGCAAAATCGGTTGATAATGAATCATGTGTA